AGCCCGATGCGGGACTCGATCCCGGGACTCCAGGATCATGACCTGAGCCGAAGGCAGTCGCTTAACCAACTGAGCCACCCAGGCGCCCCTGAGTCATGTGTTTTTTAAAAGAACATCACTGTATTGTACATACAAAACTAATATAACACTGAATGTTAACTACCCTGGAATTAAACTTTAAAAATAAAAGACCACCACAGAAATGATGCTGTACCCTTCTCACTGAAGGAGGAGGAGCGTTCATACCTATTTGCCCCATTACTGGTGGTGTTAGCTTTAATCACTAGATTATGGTAGTATCTGGCAGATTTTTTCACCATGAAGTTACTGTTACTTCCTTTGTAATTATAAAATCTCCTTCAAAAATTTGATGATTCTGATGACCTACTCAGTTTATGGATGCTGGGAGGTCAAAAATTTTTCACATCCTCACTCTAATATAGAAGTTTCTAATGAGCTGAAGATTTTAGAAGTACTTAATTAATAATCTTTTAATTTTTCATAAAGACTAATTTTTCTCACTTGACTCAAGTACAACATAAATTGGAGCTATGCAGATTGTCTTAAAGTACCTCATTACCATTCTCATACCTCATTTATCTTCCCCATCTAATAAGTCATCAATTCTTACAGATTCTGCCTTCAACTGCAACTCAAATTGGTTCCCCTTTCCTCTTTCTGTTGGGCAGTGCTCTTTGTTATCAAGAGATCCTGAGATGATACTCTCGTTCGGGAAGGATTTGAGACAGTGAAGAGAACTAAAGACAGAACCGTGAAGCATTACAGTATTTAGAGGTTAAGCAGAGGAGGAGAGGCAGCAGAGATAGCAGAGAAGGGCTATTGAAAGTGAGGCGTTCAGGAATGAATAGGAAGCAGCCAGGCAGACAAGAGAAGGAACAGTAGTCTGTTCAGAAGAGAGAAGGAGTATAAAAACATGGAGGTGTGCCATAACATGGAGTTTGAAAAGCCTGTGTTTTGTACTTTGGAAGCATGAAATCTGGGGTGCAGCTGTGCCAAGTGATAGGAGATGAGGCTGGAGGACAAGGTAGGATCTTACTTATTCCACAAAAACCAGTGTGGGCCTGATCTCCAAACAAGGGAGGGTCAGTGAAGGATTTGAAGCAAGGGAGCAATAGGTAAGATTTATATTTGAGAAACATCACTCTAGGGTCAATGTGAAAATGGACTAAAGGGAGGCAGGAAGGTAGTCGAAGACTAGTTAGGAGGTTGTTTAAGGTCCAAGTAAGAAGTGATGAAGCAGTGGGGCTCCTGGGTGGCTCAGTCGTTAAGCGTCTGCCTTCGGCTCAGGTCATGACCCCAGGGTCCTGGGATCGAGCCCCGCATCGGGCTCCCTGCTCTGCAGGAAGCCTGCTTCTCCCTCTCCCACTCCCCCTGCTGTGTTCCTGCTCTCACTATCTCTCTCTCTGTCAAATAAATAAATAAAATCTTTAAAAAAAAGAAAAAAGAAGTGATGAAGCAGTGAGAAAGAGGAAGGGGGAACCAATTTGAGTTGCAGTTGAAGGCAGAATCTGTAAGAATTGATGACTTATTAGATGGGGAAGATAAAGAAAAAAGAGAAGGAATCTGAGCTGACTTCTCCATTTCTGACTTGGGTAACTGGGAGTAAAGTGTGGAAGGGGTGCTATGTTACCATAAACCCAGTAGGAAACTATAGGAAAGAAGCACAGGTTGAAGAGTAAATGAGTCTAGTTTGAGGTAGCTCAGATAGAGTTTGCATCCATTGAAGTAACTGGGTCCTGAGCACAAGAATCATCAGTAGATAAAGAATGTTTGATAGAGGGGCTCCTGGGTGCCTCAGTCTGTTAAGTGTCTGCCTTTGGCTAGGTCGTGATCCTAGAACTCTGGGATCGAGCCCCGCATTGGGCTCCCCGCTCAGCGGGGAGTCGGCTTTTCCCTTTCCCTCTGCCCCTCACCCTGCTTGTGCTCTCTCTCTCTTTCAAATAAATAAATACAATTTTTAAAAAAAGAGGGCGCCTGGGTGGCTCAGTTGGTTAAGCGACTGCCTTCGGCTCAGGTCATGATCCTGGAGTCCCGGGATCCAGTCCCGCATCGGGCTCCCTGCTCGGCGGGGAGTCTGCTTCTCCCTCTGACCTTCCTCCTTCTCATGCTCTCTGTCTCTC